AAGGCATTTATGTAATTTTTATCACTTTTCTAATTACTTTAATTTAAGAAATTTTTTTAGTCTATTTATACCTTTTCAGTGAGAATGACCCAATGGTGTTGCTCTAGTCAGCTCATGATATTCAAAATTTACAACAGTCAATCTACCTTCTTCTGTGCATATATTCGAGGGTCCCTAAAAATTTATTTTTTCAGTATTTCTGATAGAAATATACAGTATTGATGTAGCAGTAATAGGCACCAAATTTACTCATAAACTATTTAGCACCTACATAAGAAAATATTTGGTACCTATCAAAACTGCCCCCACCATAATTCCAATCCCCCTTATTGCTAAAATTAAGCATCATTGTTGCAAAAAATAATATAGTGACATTTTGCGGTTCCCAACGAATAAGTACATTATCTCCATTAATTTTGTTTTTTGGTATCCATAGCTTATTTTTCTATTCCAATCAGTACCTATTTCCAAAATTAATTAAGCATCACGGATGTCAATAATAGTTTGCCGATTTTTAACACGCTATTGAACGAATTAGTACCATTTCTCGATTAATTTTGTCTTTTAGTACATAGCTTATTATTTTATTTCAATTAGTAACTATTGCCAAATTAATTATCATTGGCGTCACTAATATTATTGACGTTTTTAACATTTATCCTTAATGAATTAGTACCATTTCTTCATTAGTTTTGATTCTCAGTGCAAGCTATTTTTTATTTCATTTACCTTTTAATTTAATTTCTTTTAATTTTATTTACCGGCGATTTTTAAATTGTTCAGTTTTATAGTAACATGTTTTCAAAGCACAACTATACCAACACAAACTACAAGCACAACTGTAAACGAAATAAACACGTGGCTCTAGGTAAACCTAGAAATACTTATTTGGTCACATAATCTTCCTACAACGTTCACGATGATCATTCAGATAACCTGAGATAACGAATCAAAAATAATTAAATATTACAGAACGCGCATTAGACAACATTTTTTATTACAGCTATAAACTAGCAAACATCACTGATGTTATCTTTAAAATATTCACACAAAAAAATCTGAATCATTTACAGTTTACTTTAAAACAGTAGCTTTCGTTAAATAAATGAGACAACTTCATTTTTTAATGTCACTGAATTAAAAATAGCACTAAAAATCAAAAATCGAGAGTCATAATTTGTTCACAGTTGTACTCATTTAGCTTCCTACTAAATGTCGTATTTTTAGAGTCAACGGTTTACTTTCAAACAGACACAGTAAACAGAGACACATACAGGCAGACACACAAATTCTTTATTTTATTATGAATATTGAGTTATTTACTTTTTAATTTTCAAACTTGACGAAAATGCAAATTCATTGAAATTTGTCACATGAAAATATTTTGAATAATGGAAAATAAAAAGGAAATGAATTGAAAAAAAAAATTTCTTTTGGTTCATTCTTTTTTTATCACCTCTGATCAATCATACAGGGCAGTCCTCTGTAGAAAAAGAACAGTGCTGTTTACAGTTTAATTATGAGATTAGAGAAATATCCAAATTAAAATAAAAGCTGAACAGGAAAATTAAATAACTTCGAAACACATTTACCTTTATGAAAAAAATCAGAAACGATAAAAAAAGGATAAAAGTAAACAAAAGATTTCAAAACTAGGTTTAAAATGAAAAGTTTAATTTATGTTTAAAGATAATTCTAAATGAGCTTTCTAGATAATAACCAACATGTTTAAAAAATTTACATTGTTTGATAAAAATGTTTCATAAAAATGCTTTGTATTTATTGCCTTCAATATACATTTCCGGAATCCTTATCAAACAAAGTATTAGGGATCGCTAATTGATATTTAAGCAAGGAAGATACAAAATCGCTATCGAAATCAAATGAATTACCTTTGAGAAAGGAAGAAATAATAAAAAATACGTTTAAGAAGATGATATACAGGATGCTTGGTAATCATCGCCTTTAATGTACATTTCCATAATCTTTATCAAAAATAAAATAAACGAAGTATTACATATTAGGGGTCGCAAAATTAATACTAAAGCAAGGAAGATATAATATCGCTCTCGAAATCAAATTACTATTGAGGGAGGAGGGGATGACAACATTGAAACTTTTTTGATTGTCTGAGCAAACAATAGATGAAAGCGATTACTAGGAATACATCCAAGTTTGATCGGATAATTAAAATTGTTAAGATATTTTCTAAACTTCACACGTTTCTAACGTATAATTGGCTTTTAAATGTTGTTTGAAATTATGAGAGCTTATAATAAAGTTAGAATTAAAGTGCACTTATAGTAAAAGTTGTACTCTAGCTAATAAATTTCTTTTCTCTTCCTTTTTTTTATTTTGTAATTTAAAGGAAACAGTATCGGAATTTATACATAAACCACTCGAACGTTTTTATTGGTCTCTCTTGTGGTCTTGTGTGGAACGTCTTGTGGTCTTTCTTAATGTCGAACGTCTTCATTGAAATTGGCAAACCCACTGATTTATCAACATACTAAAAGTTCTACTTTAAAAATGCAAACAAAAATCGAAGAAGGAAATAAAACATTTTAAGAACTAGAAATTAAATTTTTAATGTAATGTACGGATACCTAAACCGAGTGTATCTAAGTAAGATCAATTTATATCGGCAAATAAAATAACAGTAAAAATTGTTTTAAAATATTTTAAACGGATGTTGAGTAATACTTTTTGTCTGATTTCAATCATATTTTCTGCAAATTCATTTTTTAAAACAATAATTTTCTTATCAAAGATTTACCAAGATTATAATAATTTACTTCTAAATAACAAAAAAAATCACAATTATTTAACTGACTAAGCAAAATTAATGTTTTTGAGCAGTAACATAATATAATTATGTTTTTTTCTCCAAAATATCACAAAACATGACATTATGATATATTTATCAGATTTATATACTAAAGAAAGAAATACTATGAACTGAAAGTTTTCAGTTTCTGTGAGTCGAGATGAACGGAATAATATCAATAGTGCTGGTAGTTGTGTGTTTTAATTTAGTTTCAACTCAAAAAATAAGTTTTGGACAATGCCAAAATGTACAAGTACAACAGGACTTTAGAGCTGATAGAGTAAGCTTTTTTTTTCTCCAAAAATTATTTTTTTAAATTACTTATAACAGATTACAATCATTAAAAAGTGTATCGTTGGATAAAAGAAATTTGTTATAAAGATATATATATATTTTTCAAAAATGTTCATTGCAAAGGTATGGCCAACTCGGTTATTGTTTGATGGCATAAGTCTTTAAACTCTAATGGTACGAGCGTGACTCAAATTTAATAAGGGACATATTAAAACCTTCTAGAAAATTATTTAAATGTATGATTAGTTTAATGTCACAAGTCTTTAACATCTGTTGCTCCTAGCGTAACTATTTAATATGGGAACTCATCGAAACCTTCTGGTAAATTATTTTAATAAATGGTTAGTTTAATGTTATAAGTCTTTAAACTCTGTTGCTACGAGTGTAACTCTAATTAATTGAAGTTCTTTACGAAATTCTTTGGAAAATTATTTTAATAAATGGTTAGTTTAATGTTATAATTCTTTAAACTCTGTTGCCACGAACGTAACTCTAATTTAATGAGGTTCTTAACGAAATGTTTTGAAAATTATTTTAATAAATGGCTAGTTAAATATCGTAAGTCTTTCTGTTGCTACTAGCTTAACACAAATTTAATAAAAAATAACTCATCAAAGCCTTCTAAAAAATTATTTTAATGAATGATCAATTAAATGTTATAAATTTTAAACTCTGTTGCCACGAGCGTAACACAAATTTAACGAGGAAGTTATCGAAACCTTCTGGAAAATTATTTTAATAAATGGTCATTTTAATATCATAAATCCTTACACTCTGTTACTACGAGCGTAAGTCATATTTAATGAGGAATTTATCGAAACCTTCTGGAAATTGATTTAATTAAAATAGTCAGTTTTTATAAAAATTTTATTCCATTTGAAAGTGTTCAAAAATTATTTCAAATTGTTCAAACATGTATGTATGAATGTAAGCAATAAAGAATTACAACGTGAAGCATTTCATCTGTTTAGTCATAAGCGATGCGACAATGGATGAATTAAAAATTTTACATAGTAGTTGCAATGAATTAAGAACAGATTATGACTCTTGTACGCGTCTGCCTGCTTGTATTTTAAAGTTCAAATAATTGTAAATCATAAGATCGATCCACTCTTCATCTACTTTCGTACGTAGACGTGAACGAGGCTTTAATAAAATGGTTTTATTACTGAACGAAGTATTGTTTTCATCATCATTAGTGCCAGAGTTATAAACATGTTTAACGCCACGGTTGTTGTATATCGAAAGACGACTGGCCTGTGTAGGGAACTGCCCTTGCATCAGAAAGGTTCTGGGTTCGAATCCCGGGCAAGGCATGGATGTTCTTTCCTTCTCTGTACTATCTGTCCTTACTGTGGGAGCAGCGTTGGCCCACCTAATATGGTGCCCCTGAAAGAGTGGCCAACAAATCTGCCCTTCAGATACTAGTATGACCTAGGTCATTCTCTAGGTGGGCATTGGAGGAAAAAAAATTGTAGATCGGACAATTTCCAAAGAGAAGTACAAAGCGCACTATCTTTCCCATCAATTTGCAATTTTAATAATAATAATTAAAAAAACAATAAACGGTTTTAATTATTTTTTTTCGTTATTTCTTTTTTTTTTCCATTTCTTTTTTTTCTATTTCTTTTTTTTTTTCTATTCCATTGTGCGTTCTTTAACAAAGAAAGATGCNTTTTTTTTTTTTTTTTTTTTTTTTTTTTTTTTTTTTTTTACTAAGTTTGACAGACTGGTTTAACAAGCACTCTGATTCAACGAGTGAATTGCCTCTGTCCGATATCGTTATAAGAGAGAGTTCGACAGTATATTTCTTTTTTGCTTCGTTTTATATTTTATGCTGTACTTCCCAACAAAATGCATAGACTTGAAATACATTCCAGTTTTGTTTTATTCAATATTGAAATTTTTATACAAACCAGAAGCATTCGAGACTATCTAATGTTGAATTATGCGTAGAACAAAACGTTTATTAACATTGGCACTACAGACTATAATCTCGAGCTTTCATTGGATCTGTATTATTATCGATTAAAAATTGTAATTTAGATCATATAACTTATCGTCATATAAATTATCTTCATACTCATTTTCCTGAGTTCTTTTTACAAAATGTTTAATGATTTCTGTAAAATTGAGCCTGTTTATGGAACACTCAATTGGACTATGAAATATGCACCACTTGATACAACACATTAAGAAAATATGTCATTTTTTACTATGCATTTAAGGATAGAAGCTGAGTTGGACCACTTTTCTTTTATTCACTTTTTCTATTATCTATAAATTACCATTAAGATCGCGTGATTTAACTCAAGTTCCATCACACACCCTTGAGTTAGGAAATCTTCTAGGGGTTGGAGGTCGAGTTTGGGATCATTAGAAAAACAATTTTTTTTTCAAAATATAAAATTCCTCTTCTTTTTTTTTCTTTTTTTTTAATCTAGCTGGTATGTTTTGAATATCTCCATTTCTCCATTCTAAGAGCTTCGCACTATATTTATAATGTCACCTATGAACCAAAGCGCCCAGTTTGGGATACTAATTTCTGAAGAACCCAAATCCGCATTTTTTTTAAATTTTTTTTTTTTTTTAAAGCAGAAGTTTCTATCAAAGATTTCCGAAATTGTTCCCAGCTTCAAATCCAAGGAATGAGGTTTGGAAGGTTGTCGAATTTATTGCATTACCATTGATCGAATTTTTAGATTTTTTCAGGATATTTGAATCGTTTGATACTCTTCGATCATAATATAGAAATGATTGAAAAATTATTTCTGAAGAAACAAAACGATGAAATAAATACTTCCTTTTTTTTTCTTTTAGTTCACTGGTTTGTGGTATGAGATTGAAAAGTATACAGTTCCTTTCGAAATTGGATTGAAATGTGTTACAGCTAATTACACTCAAGAATCTGATCACCTTAAAGTCGTTAACGCCGGAATTTTTAAATGGTAATATGCTGGGTGATCTTTAATCACAGCCCCTAGCAAGTGTTTTTAGTATATTTGTTAAAATTAAATTTAAATTCACCTTTTTGGTTTGTGAATTCCTGTTTAAGTGAAAGAAGAGCAAACTCCGACAGACTAGAACTGAGAAAGGCTGACTAAAAACTAATTCGATAAGTTAGTGAAAGTAGACGTTAATTCTAAAAATCACCTTTCACATCTTCTTAGTTTTCTCCGATATTTTGATTTCAGATTTTATAATTTTTTTCGTTTTTCACTCACTTAAATATTAGTTTTTGAACCCTAATTCGTATAATTCAATTATGACAAGAATTATCAATACGTATATTAAGGACAGCAATTAAGAAACACCATCATTTTAAAATTTAAAACAAATTTCTTAAAAATTGTGCAAGATATGAACACGTAAAGTAGTCGTTTCATACTGCCTATACGCGAAAAACTAAAACTAAAATTTATTTAATTATTTTTTTTCAGTGAATCGTTTTTAATGATTTATGAAAAAAGGCCGATTTGAACATCTTGAGAATTTAAAAAGTTTTTAGCAATTTCCTATGTAGTTGCACTTTTTAAAAAATAGCCCTTAATAAAAAGGGGTTTGTTTTCAACAAATTTTAATTTGTAATGTAAAACAACATTTAAGAATAAATGATACAACCCTACAATATTTGGCCGGACTGCAAGATGTGAGGGTATGAGGAAAAAAACATGTGAAATTAACATACTTTAATAGAGGATGGTTCTCATACTTGCTGTGTCATTTTTAATAAATCTTATTTTAAGATACTAAAAGAAATGTGAGGAGAACTCCTCACCATACAATGCTTTTTAAATCAACTCAGAAAATGATTAGAAGATTTTTAAATCTTTTAGATATTTAAATTAGAATTTTATTGTCGTTGAACAACCGACCTAATTTACGGTTTACGGCTACTAATGTTCAACTCCGTAGGCTTGTAATTTTGAACATAATCCAGAAGACAAGGGAAATCCTGGATCAAGTATTGGGAGAAATTTGATTTCGTGGAGGACTTTTTCATGAAACTAACCCACATTTGCGTTACATAGAGAGGTAGACCACGAGAACTTCTCCCGGTTAGCCTAACGGCAAGGGGACTCTAACGCATGATCCGTCTACCACTGAGGATATTTTACGTCAGCACTGTGGTCGGTGCAAGCCGGAGGTGGAATTCTTGTCGACCAGCCACCGCCGGGATTCGAACCCTGTTCACCTCATTGGAAGGTGAACGCTCTGTCCCCTGAGCCATCGCTGCTCTTAGATATTCAAATTGGATTTTTTTTCATAAATTACCAAATGCAATTTGCAACAAAATTATGTAGAAAAAGTTTTTTTAAAGCTTTTCTCTCCTACCTGGTATGAAAGGTCTAAATTAAATGCTCATTTCTCGCATAATTTTTAACAAATTTCTATTTTTAAATTTAAAATAATAATTTCGATATTATTATTCTGTTATTATTATTTTTTTATTATTATTATTTTGTATATCATTATTTTGATATCATTATTATTTTGTTATCATTATTTTATTATTATCATTATTTTGATTTTATTATTTTGTTATTATTATTTTATTATTATTACTATTTTATTATTATTTTCATTTTATTATTATTTTTATTTTATGATTATTTTGAAATTATTATGGTTCCAAAGAATTTGTGTAATTTTACTGAATATTCTTACAGTAATAGTAAGAAAACGTAAGGCCAAATACCTCTATGAATGATTAAACTTTGCTTACTGAATTTTATGCACTTATTGTATAAAAAAAATCAATGTAATCATTACAAGTCGTAAGTTTATTGTTATATTTTTTAGCACAAGTGGTTCAAAAACACACTTTTTTGTTCGTAATTTATTGCTAGTTCCTCAAAACTCCGAAAGCTTTAAAGTTTATTGGTCACATGAGAAATCACATGACCTAAATACTTTAAAGTTTTAAAATAATTACCTTAATATTTCTTGAGGAATTTGAAAAAATTTCGAAAATTGAAAGTATCTCTTCCATTATTGTAGGATTAGAGTATTTATTTGGATTTGTAAATCTATTATGTATATGACATTGTTTTCTGTACATTCTTAACTAACAGTTACGCATTTTAATAATGTGATTTATGTTCATTCTCAATAGTTATGTTATGTTAAAAAATTTTATTGTATATAAACAGGATTAACATGAGAACCTCCTTAGAAGCACAATTAAATACTCCTAATTCTCAAGAACCAGCAAAAATGCAGCTTACTGCTTCGTTTTGTAAGTAAAAGTTTGTAAAGTTACTTGCGTTGCATTCTATACTGTAATTAGATAATAATAATTAACCATATAGATACTTCCAGTATAACTTTATCAGAGCAAATAAATTAGAGTTTTCAATTAATCCTTAGAGTGATTGGGTCTATTAAACGAAGATGATTAAATAAGAACTTGGCAGAATTTAACCAAATCAAGAATTATCAGTTTTATACCCTATTTTCTTAATTTGTACGTGCATTATTTAAAGCTACTAAAAATGGAGGGAAAACTGCAGAGAGACGAAAAGGAACACTTACGGCTCCCTGCCACAAGATTTTTTAAAAAAGGAGGCAAAAATCGCATTTCGGAGGAAAGTTTGAAAAAAAAATTAAAATTAAATCTAATTAATAGCCTAATGGATAGCCTGGTCGGTAGGGAGCAGGGCCCATCTCCGAAAATTCGTGGGTTCGAAACCCGCCGGCCGAAGACTACCCGTGTATTAAAGTGACTGATGCACGTTAAATCTGTCGAATCGCAAAAGTCGTCCATGTTCCCATAACAAATCAAAACCTCTGGGGGTACTGGATTGGAGATCGATCGTTCTCTGATCAGAATTACGATCAATGGATAAATGAATGGATGTATGAATGGGTCCGCCCTATAAACGGGTGTGACGTATGGTGTGGCAGAAGTCGAATTCTTGGCCATAGATGGCGCCACTGAAAAACAAGAAACGCACACTCTGCCTTAAATTGCTCGGTTTCACCAAGCAGGCTTGCCCGTGTGGCAAGTGGCATTAGAAACAACAACAACAACATAAATTGGCACATAATTTAATGAAAATTATGCGTCAAATGGTTAAGTGGTAAGGTCAGCAATCAGCGTTGCGTGTTGTATTGGAATTTTATTTCCCTTTTTCCTTTTATTATGAAGTCCCGCAGTGGACTGATCCTGAATACTCGGTTCCCAGTAGAACACCAAAGTCAAGCATCACTGGCTGTGGTCAGTAAGGGGATGGGTGACCACTTTGATCAGCCTGCTTAGGGACCGATGGTGTGCAGTATCAGTCCTCGTTAAACTGTTCCATCGTAAATGGCTCGACTTAACTCGCAAGTCGTCGGACTACCAAAGCAGGGGAGTCATCCCCTCTTCAGAGGATCAGAATTACGATCGCAAGTCTTCAGATCATCCTCAGGGATGTTTCCCCGACTGTCGCCAATAGCGGTTTGAACAGCTCTAGTGCGACGCAAATAAAGTACCTACCTAACTTTTTATTATGAAACATTCTATTCACCAATATGTTTTGCTATATTGTATTATATTGGACATGTGTTCGACTCCTGCAACCAGCAAGGCAATTAGCAGTACAATCCACATAATGGTAAATATTCAGTGCAGTATACCACATCTCAGATTATACCATAGGAGTATACCATATTACAATAGACCCATACTATAGCTAAAAACAACTTTTTTGTAATAAACGCAACATATTTGTTACTAAAACTTACATTAAATTTCAGTGTTAAATTAACTGTAAATTCTGCTGCTATTACTAAAAAAAGTCAGTAGCTAAAGAAAACTTTTGAAGTTAAATATAGATTTTTCTCTTTTTAATGGTTGAACGCACGCTGCCGTTTTCTGTAAAAATTTCTGAAATTCTGCAAAAATTTCCGTTTCCTTACAGACTTTCTCCGTATATTTGACGTTTTAAAGCTGTTTTGCACAATACAGTTTTTCTCTGCTTTTCACCCTAATCATAAACGGATTAAAACTGTCATTTCAATTTCCTGTTTTTACCAAGCAGTTCAGCTTACCGTAAGATAACTTTATCTTTTTTCAAATCATTTTGCGAGTATTTTCTACATTTGCTTTAAATCAGAAATTTTATAGTTTTGAACATCGTATAAATAAAATTGCGATTCGACTTCATTGTCTAATTGATACTCTGCCGGATTATTGTTCTTCGTTATAATTTTTCGGTAAATAAATTGCCAGACACTTTTATAAAAAGGGGACAATATAGTTTTAAACGTTTTTACACTTAAATAAGTAAGATTTTTGAGATACAGATAGTGTAAGTTTTTTTTTTCATAATAAAACACTAGAGCTGCCGTGGCAGAGGGAACAGAGTGTTCTCTTCCTTATGAGGTGACCCGTGTTTATAGCTCGTCATTGGCTGATCATGCATATTCCGTTCTCGGCTAGCACCAATCACAATGTGCTGAGTTTTTATTTATTTATTTATTTATTAAAATAACAGTACTTATCTGCTTAAAAAACAGGCGTCTGTTTTTAAATAACAGTAATTTTTCTGCGAAAGAAATGGTTTAATAATGGCACACCATTTTTCAGTAAATTTTGCAGTGCCATCTGTGAATGATTATACGAACAACATTCTAATGTAGTTTTTAATCTGACTATATTAAACTGTAAAGTTAGTTGGTTGGTTGGTTGGTTCTAATGCCACTTGCCACACGGGCAAGCCTGCTTGGTGAAACCGAGCAAATTTAAGGCAGAGTGTGCGATTCTTGTTTTTCAGAGGCGCCATCTATGGCCAAGAATTTGACTTCTGCCACCTCATACGTCACACCTGTTTAAGGTGGACCCATTCATACATCCATTCATTCATCCACAGATTGTAATTTTTGACCTAAATCAGAGAACGATCGATCTCCAATCCAGTACCCCCAGAGGTATTGATATGTTATGGGAACATGGAGGACTTTGAGATTCGACAAAATTTTAACGTGCATCAGTCACCAACTGCACCGGGAGTCTTCGGCCGGCGGGGTACGAACCTTCGAACTCTCGGACATGGGCCCAGCGCCCTACCGATCAGACTATCCCGGCCTTTTAAAGTGTAAAGTTGATATCGGTTAGCGGTCTTCATTTTTGCGACAGCTTGTTTCATTTCATACGCCATGCTTTTTTACATTTGCTTCATTTCATATATGTTTTTATTTCATTCGCCATGTTTTCGCAATTAATAGTTAAATTTTTGAATACGACTTATAGTAAGATTTTACACAGCAATATGAGTAATATTAATTAATGAGTATTTTTGGAACGGGTTTAGAAATATAGCAGATCTGTTCCCGTGAAGAAATAATGTAAAGTTTCAGGAATTTTTACTTTTACCCATTTCTTTCATTTCTTTACAATTTTTCTTTTAGTTACAAAAGTAAGTTTTACGTTAGATTTCAAAGTTCAAACTTATTTATCTTATTTTATTTTTAAGTGCCAGGAATTTTTGCTCCCTTTTGGGTGTTGGATACTAATTACGATGAATATTCAGTCATTTACTCCTGCGTTGATGTGATAGTTGCGAAAGCAGGTAAGATTAAAAGGAAGTAAATTTTTTATATCTATACATTAGTAATTTAAGAGTTTTAACTGCTTCTTCAGCCAAAAGAGGGATTCTACTTCCCCCTTTTGTAATTAATTAGTGCAAGTATCTAATTAATAATTAGATTTCTTCATTTTTCCATTGTAAAAAATATGCTCTTATAAAATTGGTAGCCAAGTTTTAAATTTTAAGGGCGCAAGTATATTGCAACTCTTTCAAACTATTCGCAACCTTAAAATTTTAAATTTTGCTATCTCGATTCAATATCTCATTGAATAAAACAAGTAAAAAAATATATATACAGTAATGAAATGGAACAAAATATATCTCTAATACTAATTAGTTAGTTATAGAAATAAGGGGTATTGTATTCATACAAAGAGCATGACATGAAAATCAATTATTTAGTTAAGTTTGCTTTTCAGTTTTGCATTTTTTACTAAATGCACAGTAAAAAGAGTTATAATTTTGCAAACCAGATTTTCCAGTAAACCATTACCATATAAATAGAAAATTCCAAAGAAATGGTTGAAATATCGCATATTTTCGTTTTCTTAACTAGAATTACGTTTTTCTTTCTTTTTTTACTAAAAATGTCATTACCAATCAGCACGGTAATTTTACCAAAATTTTTTTCTCGGTGTAATATCTAAAATTCATAACGATAAAGTTATTTCGAATAATAAATTTCACGAAAGTGATTTATATTTGTGTGTCATTCCTAAGATAATATTTTAAACTAAAAATGATTTGAAAAAAATACGAATTAATAGTTCAAAAGTTCAAAAATTAGATTTTGTATAAAAAAAATCAGTGTAATCATTANTTCGTTTTCTTAACTAGAATTACGTTTTTCTTTCTTTTTTTACTAAAAATGTCATTACCAATCAGCACGGTAATTTTACCAAAATTTTTTTCTCGGTGTAATATCTAAAATTCATAACGATAAAGTTAATTCGAATAACAAATTTCACGAAAGTGATTTATATTTGTGTGTCATTCCTAAGATAATATTTTAAACTAAAAATGCTTGGAAAAAAATACGAATTAGAAGTTTAAAAGTTCAAAAATAAGATTTTAGAGAGAATAAATACGGGTTGATATCATAGATGTAAAAGCCACCCTTTTGCATGTAACTCGAAACGCGAAGAATCCCACACAGAGGCTCATAGCTTTACTATATGCAGTTATGTGTTACAATTTACCCTCTAAGGTTTTCCGTAATCACCACCTTTAATATATATATACATACATATATACACACCGAAGAGCCGTTACATTATGACCACCCTCCATCTATAACAATGGGCTCGCCGAGGTTTTCATGATTTCTCGCCCAGGAACAATGTTTTCGTGGGGCACATTAGGACCCATAATCCTCATAGAACAATCCCTGACGTCTGTAAGCTATTTGAACATAGTTGCAGACCAGGTTCACCCATTCATGGCAACAGTTTTTCCTGCGGGGGATTGTGTTTACCAACAGGATAATGCACCATGTCATAAGGGTCGAATCGTCGTGGATTGGTTCGAGGAACATTCCAGTGACTTCCAAGTCATGTCTTGGCCCCCAAATTCACCTGACCTTAATCCAATAGAGCGTTTGTGGTCCTACTTGGAAAACCAAATTCGTGCTACCACGCTACCCCCTCGCAATGAGAGCGAATAGCAGGACCAGTTGGTGAGCGCCTCAGACTCCCTATCAGCACCTTGTGGAATCAATGCCACGGCGGGTGAGTTTTGAGGGCTAAAGGTGGTCTTGCATGTTATTAGCAGGGTGGTAATAATGTAATGTCTCTTCCGTGTATATATATCTGCAAGGAAATCAAAAAATACGCATCCACGATCGGGATTGAAATTAATATATTGAAATAAATATATTGAAATAAAATATTGTAGCGGAGAAGAAAAAACTTAATCGAAATATCTCGCGAATTACGAAGTAGAATAAAACAAAAAATCAAAACCATTTTGATTGCCCGATGAAAAGTGGAAATGTTTCTAATAATCATTTTTCAACTCGTCTCTTCATTCGGCAATAAAGCAGGTTTTGGTCTTTCTTTCCGTTCTATCCTCTACACTAGTGATTTGTTAAATTTAAATGGACTTTTTTTTTTTTTTTTGCTTTAATATTTACTCACGAACATTTTTTATTTGGTTTATTTTATGACGAAGATTCTAAAACATTTATCTAGGAATATGAATGCGAAACGCCCTGTGTATGTGCAGTTTCATTTATTTATTTATTTATTTTCAGAATATTTGTGGATTTTATCACGAAATCCGACTCTGGATAAATCTACCAAAAATGGTATCTATGCGAGGCTAGAAGAAAAGGGCCTCGATACTACTCCTTTTAATCCTACAGAACAAGATTGTTAAAAGCTTTACCATTTAAGTTTGAAGACGTTTTTCAATTTCTTAAAATGACAATGTATGAGGAATTATTCTTTAAGATTGTAAAACTGATTTGAAACAAATTAAAAACTATTTGTTACATTTGTTACCTTGGTTATTCATAATTTTTCATATTTCATATAATTTACAAAGCGTGGCACGGTGAAAATAATTTCTAACAGTCTAAATTTTGATCATGACTGTAACTTAATTATTTTTATAAAACTTAATAGTAATGTTGATATATAGTACCCTTTATATGGTATTGTAATGGGGGATATTTTGATCATAGATTGAAGTCGCAAAGCCGCCGGACTAGCCTTGGGAGGTTTTCTTGAATTTCCTCTAATTGTAATGTAGTGTGTCTACCACTACAAAAATACAATTCCAATTCACTAGTATATAAGGCATGTTAACTCGATTCTATGATGACCTTTTCATAGATGAAAGTCGACATTGTCGATTGCTACCATCCCCACATTGGTGACCTGCGGATGTGATGTGAACGTGCCTACCTTCACAGAAACTCCCACTTCGATAGGAACACGCCTACTTTAATGGATGATTCACATTGAACAGTTGATTTGCTACTTATGACTGCTACATTATCCACCTCCCTGCTCTGTTGCTACTCTGTCTCGATTACACACAACGTATTCACTCGACTGCTAATGGCAACACAGGAGCGACCACGACCGTGAACTTAATACAGCTCTCACAATCAGCACTCAAAAGCACTGTGATCTTAATACGGCTCTCCCGGCTTCTCACAAAACAGCAATGAATCAATTAGTGGTATCCGTTCATCGAATTCCATCGGAGATATAATTCTGGTGGGTGGAGTACTGTAGTGCGTCTACCACTTCAAAAATACAATTCCAATTCACTAGTATGAACTAGTATTCCTATTCACTAGTAAAGACATGTTAACTAGATTCTATGATGGGGTACCTTTTCACAGATGAAAGTTGACATTGTCGATAATTACTCTCCCCACTGTAACATAAATAATGTTAGTTTCCTAGCGAAGGTGACCAATAAAGGAATTTTTCCTTGGTATTTCTATTTATTTATTTAATAACATTGGTAGCATTTCGTATTGGTAACAAGCTATAATCCGGCCATCTGTAGCTTATTTTGTTTTATTTAAATTTTATAACCGGTGTTGAACGTTTTCTTTATTGGCAACTATCAATGTTCAACTCCATATCCTTGTAATTTAAAACCCAACCTAGAAGACAAGTACACTACTGGATAAATCATTGGGACAATTTAGTCTTCGAGAGGAGTTTTTTTTTATGGAACTAAGCGCATTTGTGTTACACGGATAAAAAAAGCCTAGAGAACAACCAACATTAAGCCTGATGGCAAGGGAATTCAAATCCATGATCTGTCTACCAATGAGGATGTTTTATGCCAGTGCAAATCGGGAGAAAAATTCGTATTGACCAGCCATCGCTGGCATTTGAACCAGGGTCATCACATTGGGAGAAGAGCGCTCTATTCCCTGAGCCACCACGATTCAACTCATTTTGTTTGTATAAAATACAAAACGTTCTTCTTTGTGTACCTATTTTTAATTTTTTATGCAATATCTGAAATTAAGCCATTGAATTGAAGAGCATTCCACACCAAGTTTTTGATACTTATTGTAGCATTTCATTGTCTTGTTAAGCATTTTGAATTTAGAATTCTAATAGCCTATCGTAATTTGCAACTTAACCCATTTTAAGGCAGGGAATAGAATTTTTATAAAATGTGGCATTATTTCCATTGAAAAATGCTTAAATGCATTCATTAAGGCTCTAAAAAAAGTTCATTGTCTGAAAAATAATATTTTATTTAAATAAATAAAATGGTATATGGTGGACTATTGGCCAAATCAATGGACAAATCATTTAGGTTAACTCTAGTCTTTTATGATATTTATTATCTTTTTATTTTATTTACAGAACTTGCAACTTTTATCCATCATAAAATCATATGATTAATATCAAATGGAACAATTATACTATTTCAAAAAGTCGAATTCGTTCATAACCGTTACAAGTTAAAAAAGAAAAAAAACTAGCTCAGTTAGTTTGAAAAATTCTCAATATAAAGCCTTTGCTCTAACTGAGTTACTAATATTTTATAGATGTCTTCAGAACTCTTGAAAATAGCAACCAAAAAAAAATTAACAGTGTTAATAAAAAATATTTATTGAAATGGTGCTCTTACACGCCATTTCAATACATGTTTGAAAATATTTATTGATACTGAAATTACTAAAATAATTTAATACTGAGAATATTGATTATATACTGAAAAAGTGTTAAATCTAGCAAAGTTTCTCTCGTTTGATTACATTAAATATTTTACATCAGAAATTCAGTTTTCCAGTACAGTAAATCTATTTTCTAATGTAATGAACTTTATATGAACTAGTACAAAAGTTTTCACATTGTATGCTCCGTGAACTTTGTAACAATGAAACAGTGAAACAATTGGGAAAAAAAAATTTTGACATTTTTCTAATTTTCTATCAAAGATTAAAAGTTCTGGAATACTTTTTTATTACTATTTTATTTTTGTAAGAAACACCTTCAACTCAGTCAATATGACTCATACTTCAAACACATAAGGCGTGAGATCATATTTTGACTCGGAAAACAACAGATGGAAAAAGATTTCATTTTCCCTGATTATAGCAGAAAATAATGCCTTAAAAATAGAAACTTTTTTTTGAGAAACGGTCGATGCATTTAACTAAACTAAATTTTTTTTTATGAAAAATACTTTAAATTAAGTTTAAAGAAAAGTAAAAATTCAAATATTTCTATTGGAATTTAAACTTTATTTTTAAATCGAAGCAATTTTGATTTGATACAAATTCTAAAAGCTTTATATGAAACATGTTATTTTTAAGAATTATTATACTGATTGATTACCCAATTGAAAATTTAAGTTCAAATCATTACATATGGACTCGCCCATAGATGATGTCACGCTTAGGGGAAAGGGGATTTGTGACAGTTTGTATCATGGGGGAAAGTAGGGGTAACTATAGTGAGACATCGAACATCTAAAATAAAAATCAGTTCCATCAATCAAAAATATTTTCCTATTATTTTTTAAAAATATTTTTCATTTTAAGTATAATTTAAAATGATAAAAGTGCAGTTTTCTTCTGGTGATTTATATACTCTCGTTGATTTTGTATTGTACTAAAATAAATAAACTTTTAGGATTTAAATTAGTCTTAAATAAAAGTTTAAAATTAAAAGGAAACATTTTTAGGAATTTTACTCACAAAACAACAGCTGAAGGAAAAGCAAGTAAAAGTACCAATAACAAGGAAAGTAGCAATGAACCACAATAGCTCTGTGGTTAGGACACTCAACTTTCACTGTGATGGACCGGGTTCAATCTCCAATAATAACTTGAAACCCATCCAGCTTCAGATCAAAGTGTGCTGGCTTTTCAGAGAATTAAAGACAGTCTGTACACACAGACTGATCACATTGTCACAATCATGCCGTTGCTCAAAAAATTGTGGAGCCTTAGTCTTCATGATGTCTCCTACAAAGAGCTCTTGCAGGAATGCATTACTTTAATAGTAATAATAATAATAGTAATAATAATAATAGTAGTAATAACAATAATAGTAATAAAATAATGTGAATTCCACTGAAAGTTCTAAAATATAGCTGTTTTCAATTGCTCTTTTATAACAATATCTTATTAATCTTGCACATTAATTATATGCAATGTTTTTTGTTGTAAGCCTTATTCTTATTTCATGCAAAAATAAGTACTCATATAATCATTATTTTTAAGCTCAAAAATGTCATTCAAACAAACAGATAAAATTTAAAAATAAGATCTGAAACATGATCTATAATGTATAGATCTCAAATTTTGCGTGGTATGTGACACAAAGGTGGAAATACGAGGGAAAGGAACATTTTGTGACAAAGAAGAGAAAGGGATCAAAAATATTGAAGAACGTGTGGCATCACTAATGAACAGTCCCTTCAAAGTGTTCTGTAATCACCACCATTAATATATATATTTTCAGAATCCCTGTCAAAAATGGAGTAAATAAAAGCATGCACATTTCCTTATTACATGTTTAAGCTAAAAAAAAAACAGAAACACTTTTGAATCACTTGTAGGAAAAAACTTGTAGGAAATCTTTTGAATCACTTGTAGGAAAAAACAGGGTAAAAATAATATAAGCACACAAAAACAATTTGCAGTAATTACTGCTAGTATATTTTTTAAAAACTAACATTTTTAAAATCATTAAAACGGCATTTGGCAACAAGCTCATCAAACGAAGTTTCAGGGACAATATATAGTGAGACCCACATTATTACTGAGGATGACAGTATGACATAGAATCGTTCCTTAATATTGTTTTCCTATAGGAATTTAACAAACTTCTAGAATTTTCATATGCATAACCGCACCATACACAGAAATATCTTTCAACCTTTCTAAAATCAATCTCTAGGACATAAAGAATAAAAGTTAAGTTTAATATAATTAATGTTTTTGGCCATTAACACTAGATTGCCTAAGGAAGTCACTTTGACAGCTTTTAACACAAGAAAGACTGAAACTTAGTACTATATACCTATATTGCCCAAAAGCAGTCAAAATGACTGGATTGTAAAAGAATAAATAATGCTTAAAGAAATTTGCTTAAAATTAATTTTTTATATTTTTATATTACTGACAGTTGTATAACAAGTTATTGGTAAATATTAACAATAAAAAAATTATATGTTGTACAAAATTCTATGAAATTGCGTCATTATATACATCATTGTTTTTCTAATTGAAATAAACACTAGATTGCCTAGGGAAGTCATTTTGACTGCTTTTAATTTCAATTGGAAAAACAATGATGTATATAATGACACAATTTCTTAGAATTGTGTACAACATATACTTTTTTTATTGTTAATATTTACCAATAACTTGTTATATAACTGTTACACTGATTGCGTAACAATTATACTGAGTAGTTTTTACTAATTGGCCTGAAAATTCAAATTTTCAGTTAGTAGCCAGAGACCGTAGACTAATGACTTAATAGCCACTTTTTCATCAAAGCTAACTAGTCGGTAACCGGACCTTTCCCCTTCTAGCGGACTTTTTTTTCATACTTAGACTGAATTTTATTTTTAAAACAAAATTCTTGTTAGAAATAATCTACGGCTACAAAAATCCATTTCAACAATGAAAGTAATATAGATATAGGACGAAATTTAGTTAAACATACTGACTTTAAAGAACTCAATGTAAAAATATTTGGGTAGGCAAAATACATTTAATGTATGCATTACAACTATGAAATATGTGAATTGTTCCTTTCATCACAAATTAATGGATTCATCAATCAATCATGGATAAATGAATAGTGACTAATGAATTTTAATGAAAATTCTGTTTTTCAGAGTCTCATTCTACAATGATGTACTTTTATTACTAAAAGATTTTATAAAAAAACGATGGGAAAAAGTGACCCTTTTGTTTATATAAGTCGCCACTTTTTTTTCTGACTCTTCTCAAGGAAAGTCAACAAAACAAAAAAAACTAGTCATTATTTTAAGGCCTAATTAGTAAATGTTTTTGTCAGTTATTCTTTATTTAGAAACAAATGATTATAAGCAGCTGTTACTAAATAATTTTGTAATTAATACCATATTGTAAAACAAAATTATTGTAAGCAACTGTTACTAAATTTAGAAAATAAATTGATACACTGAGATGTAGGAAAAATTTGCTTTATCATTCCATTAAAACTTTTTTTTAAGTGACAGATGTCTAATAGTTAATCTCTATATATTTACGTTACGTAAACAGCTGGCTTATATAACAATCTAGAAAACATGACTTTTCAGAAAAATTCAATAGTTTTTTTTTCTGATATAACCCGTTCTACTCTTATCTTTAAACTTTTTTTTTTCGTAAACACTGAGTAACAATAACCTTAAAGATAACAATACCTTTTGTTGTATTGATAGTACTTTGTATTTAATAAACGCGCAGAATAACACTTCAGCAATTGCCTTTTCTTTTACTTACCAAAATGTTGAAACTCACTGCTGTGTTGGTAGCTGTGGTCATCAGCTGTGTGACAGCACAAAGAATCAGTCCTGGTGGATGTCCCGTAGTTGTAGTAAAGGATGGCTTCGACGCTAGCCAAGTTTGTATAAATGTTTCTCTTTAATGTTATATTCGCATTGTTCACTGTCAAAAAGAATTAAAAAGAATTCTCATCGTCATGCGACGTACGTTATAGACCGGCAATGAGTATCCTCATTTCTTCATAATTTTTTGTGTTTATGGATGCCATGATATATATATATATATATCAATATCATTCATTTATCATAATTAAGATACACGGATACGTAGAGAAATAAAGAAATAAATGTTCAATAGCTATGGTATAAGTTTTATCAAAAATACACGAATTCTAACGTAAAAGCTACACTCGTGTAATGCTAAACAACGTTAAAAAATCAACTAATTATTACAATTATTAAAAATCAATGCTTTTAAATTTCACCGACACATTAAGCAAACAAAGTTACTACGAAAATTTTCTATAGTTTCCATTAAAATGAGAAGTTTTTTTTAAAAAAAATTTTCAGTGATTTTCTATAACCTTTTTAACATGATTGAGGATCATATATAGTAAAATAAACATGCCCCTTCCTCACCTTTTTTCCCAGTTACCTTAATTTTAGTGATCAAGACAATGTGAAATTAATTGAATGGATAAAAAGGGGAAAATAGGTACCCAACGCTGTAATCAAAAGCAGGACTTCCAACAACTATGCTTTTGGCAAAACAATTTTAGAGAGGTAGGCAATTAAAGACTGAAGCTTTTTAAATTTTTGGTAATTTTGCCAGCATTTTAAAAGACTCAACACGAGAGATCTGAAACAAAGTGGTGTTTCATATAAACTTTCGAATAATTTACATGCAGTGATGAGGAAAATAATTCGAAATCAAAATTATAAAATAAAGAATAATGCATTGAAGCATAAACTTAGCAACCATTAGAAAAAATTTTCCCAGAAAGCTGGTTTGTTAAAAATATGTTTTTTTTTCTCAAAGTGTGTTCTACCTAGACACACCACTATATGATAGACATAGCATATGTGTCAGACTATCATAACTACCCACAGAACGAAAGTTTTAGAAAAGGGTCATAAAGCAGGTCAACTTCCTTCATATGCAACATAATAGAACATTTGAAAACAATATTGCATGCATGTGTTCTCCTATTTACTTCCTGAATTGTCTCAGAATTTCGAAAACATATTTAAAAATCACTCTGTCAAATTGTCTATGTTTTACAAGCTTCCACGATTTAAATTATTTTTACAGGCTATAAATCTAAAAATTATCTTTAATTTAGAAATAGGTTTAGGGTAACGGTTATTAATGAACACGTATTTAAATTATTAAATAAACAAGTGCTTTATAAAAATAAATTATAAAACAAAAACAAATGATATCGTTGAAATAGTTTTTTAAATACATATTTTGAAAGGTATTTAAAAAAACTGGTTATGTTTCGACTGATGACTTAAAATAAACACTTTACAAAATTCATACTGTTCGAAATTTCAAAAACTTTCGCTTTGTATTTTTTTTTCCTCTTATTTATTTATTTATTTTTTGTTACCTGACTTAAAAAATTTTTTTATGTGATTTTTATTTTGTAGTTCTTACAAAACTTGACTAAAATACCTACTCTGCATATAAATAATTGATGTTTCTATTAATTATGATGCCTTTGTTAGCATAATTATAATTAATATAAAAATTGTTTTTGTTTAATTTAAATTTCGTTTAAAACGAGCGTCCTGCTTACAATAACTATATTTTGACCGATACAGTACCCATCATAATCACGTAACTGATTCAGTCAAAATTTAAAATAAAGTCTAAATAGCTATTTTAATCAAATAAATGCAATCTGTTCTGAATATAATTCAAATATTTTTTAATTATAACATTTCCTTTCAGTATGTTGGTGTTTGGTATGAGATCGAGAAAAACCCAGCAGTATTCGAAGCAGGATTAAAATGCAACCAAGCAAATTACACAGCAGAAAAAGATTATATCCGTGTGGTTAACACTGGAGTCAGCACACTGTAATTATCTTTCTTATTATTATTACTTTCGAACACTGCTATAGTGAACACTCTTCAGCCCTAGCAATAAGTCCACGATGGTTCAATGTATTCAAAATCTTTGAAAAAATATTCAGTAGTTTGAAAATAAATAGTACATAATTCACTTTTTGGATTAATAACAAACTAAACAAGTATTGTCTCCCTTTAACAGGGGTTTCCAACTCGCATGAGGCAGGGGGCCGCAATTAAAAACACCAGTCAAATGGCGGGCCGCAACTTTGTCAAAATTTTATATAGGACTCTTTAATGTTTGAAGGTACATTAAATATTAATGTCAGAATTTTCTCAAGTTGTACAAAACAAAAGTATTGAACTGACTGAAATTATTTTAAAATATTTCATTGCATATTAAAAAATTCTGGCCGCAAAATTTACAAATGCAATTAATTTCGCCAAAAATGAGTGGTTTCAAAAAGTTAAGTCGGAGAATTTCTTCGAGNATAGTGATGGCAGGATCCCCCCTCTGCCCTGTGCGTCTCCAAACACGTCTTCGATGATCGTCAGGACACAGTTGGAAGCGGGATTCGTCGCTCAAGACTATACGTCCCCAGGCGGCATCATTCCAGCCTGATCGAGCGTTGATTTTTTTGTTATAGAGTGTATTTTAATCAAATAAATGCAATCTGCTCTGAATATAATTCAAATATTTTTTAATTATAACATTTCCTTTCAGTATGTTGGTGTTTGGTATGAGATTGAGAAAAATCCAGCAGTATTCGAAGCAGGATTAAAATGCAACCAAGCAAATTACACAGCAGAAAAAGATTATATCCGTGTAGTTAACACTGGAGTTAGCACACTGTAAATATCTTTTTTATTATTATTACTGTCGAACCCCGCTATAGTGAACACTCTTCAGCCCTAGCAATAAGTCCACGATGGTTCAATATATTCAAAATCTTTGAAAAAATATTCAGTAGTTTGAAAATAATTGGTACAATAGTAGATAATTCACTTTTTGGATTAATAACAAACTAAACAAGTATTGTCTCCCCTTAACAGGGGTTTCTAAAACACATGAGGCCGAGGGCGCAATTAAAAACACCAGTGAAATATCGGGCAGTAACTTTATCAAAATTTTATATGGGACTCTTTTATGTTTGAAGGAACATTAAATATTACTGTCAGAATTTTATCAAGTTGTACAAAACAAAAGTATTGAACTACAAATTATTTTAAAGTATTTCATTGCATATTAAAAAATTCTGGCCGCAAAATTTACAAATGCAAATAATTTCGCCAAAAATGAGTGGTTTCAAAAAGTTAAGTCGAAGAATTTCTTCGAGAAAATTTCTGAAACGCACATGCTAAATTAAATTCACAAAATACAAGAAAAGAAATAAAAAAAGAGCAACATACACGATTATTTTTATATTTGAATAAATAATTTCTCGGGTGCAAAACCTGAGAAATAAATTTCTTTGCACCGTTGGTATGTTAAATTTCACAGAAAGGAAAAAATTAGGTTTTTTTATCGAAGGAAAAGTATTTTAAACCCATATAGAGTTTTTTACGAAAATTGTCCTCAAAAAATGACTAATAATATATTTTAGTTCGCTGGCCACAAAAAAAAAAAGCTTCACGGGTCGCCAGTTGGTAACCACTGCTCTATAATAAAAATTTCTTACTTCAATTTTTTGTTGAAATCTTTAATCAAAACGTTAAATAATATTCAAAATATTTTCCATATAACGAAATGGTTGTCTTCCTATAACGAATTTTTTAGTTAATTATCTAACCAATTTCCGTCTTTTTTGGAATTTTTCAGATATTTAACTTTTTGATTTCCATCATTTTAAAGAAAGATGCAATTAAAAGTTGGGGTTTCTGCGTAATCAATTTTCTCTCCCATGCACCTCTTTTTGGAACCATTTGCATTATTCTTTCTAACGCAATTACTCATTTTAAAAACTCCTTTATATTGAGTATTACTTCATAATTAATTAGAAGTCATAATTATATCTTTTTAACTTATCACATAGATTGTAAAGTTTTATTATTTTTTTAAATAACTGCAAGGAAGAAATTTGAGTCCACTATCAATGAACAAACACAGCTGTCCACTGTAAGTGTATGAAACAACATTAATTCAATAGCAATTCGGACGGAACTACTGAAAACATCCACTACAACCAAGTGTTCACTATATCACGGATTCATTATAGATAGGTTTGATTGTATTATTATCATCAACGTTATTATTATTATTATGCTCGAAATTTATGAAAATTTAAAATTATTTAATTGCTCGAAAAAATCAAAATTAATATTTGAAAAAGGATTAAAATGGAAAGGAAGCAAATCAAATTATAAAGCAAAAGAGAATTTATATTCAAACACCATTAATTTCGAAAATAGATCATCATAAATACTATATTGAAACCTTGAAACTAATTACACAAATTTTACTTGTAATACACTCTATTTCAGTGTCTTGAAGTTTTAGTAGTTATGAAAGTTGAAAGTTGCACTCATTGATTATTTAATTATATATATATATATATATATATAAAAGTAATTTTTATTTAAGTAGAACAACCACTGCAAAATTTTAAATTTTTTTTTCTCAACTTTTTAGTGTTTTATCTCAGCAGCGTTTCAAACAATCAATTCAATCAAATTTTTTCTGATTTAAATTAAAAATATTTAATATGCTTATCAGTTATGCCGTTTTGTTGCATTCATAATTTATCTATTCCGATGTAAAATCGTTTAAAACGTAAAACTTTAGCCGGAGAGATATTTTTCATTTGGTAGCTAACGTTTTACAATTTTTATTTAAATCAAGCAACCAGTGCCGTCTTTTTGCTAGAAATTATTGCCTAAAAAAATTGTTAAAATCGTTAGAATCTACATGGCTAAAATTTTTAGCGAGCGATAAATCACAATAAAGTATCAAAATTGCTACAACCTTAATATGGTATCAAGTTTAACCACATTATCGTACAAATTTAACTATCTAAATCTTGACACAATTTAAACGGATTCAATTTATAATAATTTAAGATAGAATCAATATTATACGATAATTTGATTTACGGTACAGATTTATGAATCAGGGCACCAATATTGTGGTTCATCGCAGAATTTAATTTGCTAGATGTGTAGAAGGCTTTGGCCTTAAGTCATCTTACATTGAGAAAAAGTATGATCAAAACTATCAGAATATGGTAAAATTTACTGCGTTTCTGACTCGGTGAGAACACCAAAAAGCGCATTAATTTTCACCGAAACGTTTTGGTAATGATTTTGATAAAATTAACAATAAAATATGGTTATATATTATAAGTGATAAAATTTGGTAAATGCTGTAAAATTTGGTAATTTTATCGTGAAGCCTTAGAGCATGGCATAAAAGCTATTTATTTGGTTAAATTTACTTTTCAATTTTGAATTTTTTTTTTACTGAATGCGTTGTAATAATACGAACTGTAATTTCGAAGACAAGAAATTCTGGTAAACTTATTATGTGAACGAAAAAATTAAAAACAAAATGATTGGTTAAATTATCGTATAATTTGGTTTTTAATATCAGAAGTAAAGCTTTTTTTAATACTTGAAATATCATCACCACACAGAACGATAATTTTAACAGAATTTTTTCGATGTGCAACAGAAAAAAAAGAAATGAATTAGATTTGGTATAGAAAATTGGCAGAGGAGGAAAATGAGTTGAGANAATAGAAAATTACTTTTGTGGGGGTCGATGGAGATTTCGAAAAATTATATAGGGGTCGATGATCAAAAAAGTTTGGCGACCCCTGCCTTAGAGCATAGCATAAAAGCTATTTATTTGGTTAAATTTACTTTTAAATTTTTTTTTGTTTACTGAATGCGTTGTAATAACACGAACTATAATTTCGAAGACAAGAAATTCTGGTAAACTTATTATGTGAACGGAAAAATTAAAAACAAAATGATTGGTAAAATTATCGTATAATTTGGTTTTTAATATCAGAAGTAAAGCTTTTTTTAATACTTGAAATATCATCACCACACAGAACGATAATTTTAACAGAATTTTTTCGATGTGCAACAGAAAAAAAAGAAATGAATTAGATTTGGTATAGAAAATTGGCAGAGGAGGAAAATGAGTTGAGAAATATTCTAATTATAGTCCAAAATATGCAAAATATTAAAATAATTTAACATGCATGAATGAAAAATATCGTGCAATCAAAACATTAAATTTGAAAACAAGTATTTTCTGGGGGAAGGATAATCAGAAATACATAGTCTCATTTTTTGTCTGTTTTTTCGACTCATATAAAAGAAATACATAGCAAATGTTTTCCTTGCTCTAGAACTGGAAAGAAAGTAACCATCTCAGGAAAGGCGACTGTCTCGAACAAAAATGTTCCAGCAAAACTGAAAGTAAAATTTGACTCAAGTAAGTACAAAAATTGCATTTAATTTTGTTTTTCATAGTTAGGATTTTCATTCCAAAATTACAGTAAAATAACCATCAGATTATGTGTAAAATTTACGGTTTGCGACAATTTTTTACTTTTACTGGTTTGAAACCGCATATAACTGGTACGATGGAGAGTAAAAACGTGAATACAAAACTATGCGGTTTTGTAACCAATTACAGCTAGCGTTATTTTAAAACCGTAAAAAATGAAATTTAAACTGGACATCGAAATCGAGTTACGTTAAGATTTTAGTTACGTTAAGTTATGATTAATCAAGTGAAGCTTGGAAAGCGTGGTTATGTTACCTTCACATCAGTCAAGTCTTGAAAATGGGCTCCTATTTTGATGCTCTTAAAACATGTCGACTGTCATTTCAATTTTGTATATTTTTAAAGCGTATGAAGTCTTCTATCAGATAATATAGTTATTGTATTTAATTTTGATTTACAATGTCAGAATTTTCATTCTGAAATTACAGCAAAATAACCGGCAACAGTCTGTCCATCGGATTAAACGTAAAATTTACGATTTAGAACATTTCTTTATCTTACGGTTTTGAAATCGTTCACGACTGGTGTGATAAGAAATTCTTAAATACAAAAGTATACAGTTTTGTAACCACTTACAGCTAGCATGGTTTTAAAACCGTAAAAATTAAATATAAACTGGACATCGAAGTTAGGTTAAGATTTTCGTAAAGTTGTGTGCAATCAAGTTCAACGTGGAAAATTGTTGATGATTTAAAAACAAGGGCTAAAATAAAGTTAAAGAAAATTCGCAAATAATTAAATTTCAAAATAAAAGGAATTGTAAAAAAAAAAATTTCGATGATCAAAATGCTCAACAAAAACAATTCCAGTACAAAGTCAATTTACTTCAGCTTCTGAAGAGTCTAGAGTCTGGTTGTTTTCAAGTTCTGAGACTGTTGTCTCTTCTGATTTATTCGAATTCTAAACTTGTAAATCCTTCTGACAGTTTTAGTTGACGAAGTTTTCAACTGAAATAATGATGACATTAGCATATACCTTATATCCAGTGAAAGTAGACAGAACAATGCAAGTCAAGTTGTGCACCGATTTCTCAAAACGCTTACAGTGTATATTTAAAATGTTATGCTAGTTAATGAGTTGACTCAAATAAAAATCACAATATTCTTCAAAGAAACAGTTTTAAGGAACCGGCAAATTGGTCTACCTTTGCAGAGCTAATCCACCTGTTTGTCATGGTGAAATCAGCATAAACATAAAATAAATTTTATACACGTTAATTGCAACATGCCACATTCATTGGTTAATTTGTATTAATCAACGAAAACATTTTAAAAATTACCTCATTTTCAAATATTTTTTATATTTCCATGATAAGTAATGTTATTACGCTTGATATGTCTTCAGGAAACTAAAGGCTTTGAAACCTAGGACGTTTTTGTTGGATTTTATGTATATAGACATATTTTTTAACGTAAAACAGTTGCTTATAATTTTTTTTTTGAAGTGCCATTCACTGCAGACTATTGGGTGCTGGACACTGATTATGAAGAGTATTCCGTAGTCTATTCCTGCGTAACTACATTAAATCTGTTTAAAGCAGGTAAGATAAATCTCCTTTTTAATTTTTTTTACGTAATATAATGTATATATGTACTATACAAAAAAAATCTAAACTTTTAAAACTATTTAAAAAATTAAATTTGTTCTTATTTTCATCTGCTTTAATGTTCAAGACCATTTCCTTTTAAAAGAGCTCAATTTTCATCCGATTTCAGGAAGGTGTTTGTCAAAAAAAAAAGAAGAGGAAAAGACAAAGTTAAAGAAAGTTTATTTTAAAAAATAATCAGTCGAAATTAAACATTAACTGAAATTTCAATTGAAAAGCGGTAATTGTTTATTCCTTCGATAATACTTTATAATTTGTCTTTAATAATAATACTAATTACTAAAGTACTAATACTAATTATGACAAAAATAATTTAATAAATATTTTTATCCTTTTTATGATGACTTTTTTTCGTAAAAAGACATCAAAACTGAATAAGAGAGTCGGAAAAAAATAATTTTAAAATTTAGGAATTTTAACAAAAATTTAAAAATACTATTCGACAAAAACAACTTTATTTATGAACAAAAATACAAATCTAATAACTTATCAATATGAGGAGGTCCTATCCACGTGACAAAAAAAAAGAAGAAAAGAAGAAAGAAATATGAAATTATGTTTAGTCGAAGTGTTCATTGAATGAAGACTAACCATACGGTTTGTAATAAAGCGATGAAATTATAAAAGATTTCTTTATAATTATCGTTTTACTGTTTTAAAGACGTAAGAGGTAATTAAAATTGTTTTAAGAAAAGTTATTGTAGTCACTTCGCGTTTAATTGATCTATGAAGAGCTATTTACTCTCGCTATCTTGGATTTTAGGTTAAATTTTTAATTTGCGCTTTCTATAAAATTTTTTCGTATTCGTGAAAGTTTCGATGACATTTATTTCCGTGGCACAATACCTTAAGAAAAATATAGAAAATAAAAGGGTCGCATTATTAGATTAAAAGAAAAAATATTTTTTAAATTTTTAATTAATTTATTTTTTAATTTTTAATTCATTAATTTTCATTTCAATTAACTTATTTTTATTTTTAATTAATTTATCTTGCAATTTTTAATTTTTATTAATTTTTATTTTTTTTTTAATTTTTAATTTTTCTTAATTTTTTTTAATTTTTAATTCTTTTAAATTTTATTTAATATTTTTTATAGCTTCTATGGATTTTCAATGCACACTTTAAGGAATTGAAATTCTGCGATCTGTTGTTTTGAGCATACAATTTAAAACTACACAAATTTCAGTTTTTAGATTTTTTTAATTTTTTTACTACAGTTTAAACTGATGAAAACTTATTTGGATGGTCAATGGTGCTAAAAAGTACTAACGTTAATCGTAAAAAACAAAGATGTTTATCAAATCCTAAGAACAGAGAACTTTATACTATTTAAATATATTTCAAAAACTGTGATTTTAGAATTGTATTGGTATAATTTTGTTAGAACAAATTCATAGAGAATCTAAAATTCTGCTCATTTTATATCTAAAATTCTGATTGGATTATGACCTTGTATTTTACTTATATCGAAAATAACGGCCGACTGTAGCAAATGTTCACCAACAGTTTGTTTGGTAAAATTAAATTCAGAGCATTGAGAGCATATTTAAAATTTTTCTCCTCCGTCTCCACCCCTTCGTTTCATTTAACATTTTTTGACAATTTTCACTGATAGTCATTTGAGTTTGATTGATAGGAGACACTTGTAAGATAAATTTATTTAGAAAGATTAACATTGGGGAACATTTTTTTTCCTTGCGTTGCAGGAGATTTTTTAACAGTTCTTGGATATTTTCAATTCGCCATTTTAAAATTTGAAATCGATCCCCCCCAAGTTATGCTATTAGTTTTTAAATGATATATTTAAACTATTTTTTTGTCGAAAATCACAAGTTTAAGAATGTTTAATATAGCAGGGAGGACGCAAAAATATAGCGAAAAACTTCTGGAGGAATTACAGCACATCATCAGGATTGAAACTGCACAGGAACTTATGCTTGGTAATTTCGCACCACTAGGTGGCACTTCCTTATTATGAACTGCTTATTCATGCGCTTCTGAGCAGGTCATAATAGGGGAAGCGCCCCTAGCCACATACGATGACAATTGCAAATATTCTATGCAATTTTAATCTTGATGACGTAGTCAAGCTCTTCTAGAAGTTTATCGCAACATTTACTTAGCCATTGTTACATATAACTTTTAAGACTTAAAGTGTCATTTTTAAAAATTCTCTAGTTTTAGGAACAAAACTAATTTCAGATTTGAAATCCCCATATAATTCCGGAAAAATAATTCGGGTAATTTATTTATTTTTTTCTTTACAGAATACGTCTGGATTCTTGCCCGTGATGCAGCTTTACAAGAGGAGACAAAGAACAAAGTTTATAAAATTTTGGATAACAACAAAATCAGTCGTCAAAGCATAGTTGCAACTACTCAAGATTGTTGAATCATTTGCATGCTTTTTTTAAATAATAAAATAACATTTTCATGAATTTTATTCTGTTTTTTTTTTTTATTAAAAAGCTTGTCTATCCAACTTCAAGTCAAAGACGGCCTCTGCCCAATGCTTATCATACAACCACAATCACACCGTTGGTCTCGAAATTGTGCCTGCCCTGACTCACAGCGTGCTGATGCGGAAATACTTAACTTTACCTAATTTAATTGACATCGTGATAATTTATCTATCCCGAAGAAAAAAAAGCTTTATATTATAATTTGTTAATAAAGAATTTTTTAAGAGAAAATATGGTAAGCATAATTACCATAAAAAATAGAACCAGGTTTGAAAAAAAATAACATTTAAGGTTATTTTAATTTACAATGAAGATGCTTAAATAGTTTTTTTTTTAAATTCCCAGCCGCGTTAGCTCAGATAGGTCGCTAAGCCTAGATGGAATCAACGTTTAAAATAATTTTGCTGGTTTGTAAAAAAAAATGGAATTTTAGTTTTGAATAAAAGTAATTTGAATTTCAGCTGACTAATTATTTAAATTGGCAATTTTTATAGCTTAAAGCTTTAAAAATTCAAGCACCTTAGGCAGCTATCTTCTAAAAATATGATTCCCAACAAATTATTTTTTTTTCAACTGTAGAATTCGGATAAGTGTTTCAAGATGATTTAACTCAATCTATTAAAATTACAGAAGAATTATGTATTTGAAAGTTTCTTTTATAGCTTAACAAAAGAGGCAATTATTGCCGAAGGTTTAATATTAAAAACTTCAGGTTGATAAGGGAAGATCTCTACTAGTGAAAAAATGTAACGATATACATTATTCTTCATATAATATATATGTCACGGCGAAAGACCGAAATCGGTGGTTGTTGACTTTCTACCGGTGAATGTCGACAAACACCAAATACGTCGGTGAAAGATCGAATATTTCATTACATTCTTGCACATTCGGACCCTCACCGGTGTATGTCGACAATCACAGATATGCTTTGGTGAATGTCAGAAATATTTATTACATTCGATTTGATATGAATTTATTCATGGATATAATTACATTTATTCGATATTTTAACCCTACACTGATGTTTTTTTAAGGTTAAGTG